AATAATAAAAATAAAACAAAATTGAATCTTCTTCTCTTCAATTTTTTTTTGTTATTTTTAACAAAAATACTAAAAATAAAATAAACTAATTATAGAAAATAACAATATTATAATTTTATTATTATTATATTATTAATATTATTATATAATTAATGTTATTCTAAAAATGATAAAAATAGTGTTTGTTAAAATAGAATGATGATAAAATACTAATTGACTTGATGTGTTAATAACGTGTAATAAATATTTAAACATCCAATTTTGAACTTATAAATATCAATTTAAATTAAAATGGATAAGGTGTATATCAAACAACTAGAAGAATGGACAGAAAAAAGAATAAACAATATATTATTTGATTCAGATAAAGATAATTGGAATAAAAATACATCAGTATTTGATGAAAGAATAATAAATAAAGAACATATAATAATTATTATTGAAGATGAAGATGGAAATAAATTTGGAGGATATGTTAATGAGAAAATTGATAAAATTGATAATGGTTTTATAAAAGATTCAAAATCATTTTTATTTTCATTAGAATCAAAAGGAAGAAATGAAGGAATGAAGAAATTTGATATTAAAGAACCACAATACGCATTTTGGTTATATAAACAAACAGATGATTATTTGTTTGGATTTGGAATAGATGATATTGCTGTTTATAAAGAAGATAATAAAACAGAATCATCTTGTTATCAACGCTCATTTTCATATGAAGGAATATCAAATGCACTTTGTGGGAAACAACTTCCAAAACGTTTCATACCAAAACAAATCATAGTAATTGAAATGAAATGATTCAATCTTGTTTAATTGAAAATGAAATAAAAAAGAATAAAAACAAAACAATGAAGAATATAAACAACCATCTCATTTCATCTGCCAATGAATGAATGGTGAATTAAAAATTGACATAATTCAATGTTGATTTATTTTATTTCATTTGAAACATTCACACCCAATGACGGTGTTTTTAATAAATAAGAAAAGAAATAAGAATGAAAGTGAAATAAAATGAATAAACAATTTATTTGTATTATTTCATTGAACTATTTCATTAAGAATAAAATGAATAAAATAATAGAAATAAGAATAATAAACAAATAAATAAATGATAAAATACATCAACATATTTATGTTATTATTTATATTCTTATTCATGTTATTATTTCTTATTTTCTATTTAAAAAATAATAAACAAAACTTAATAAGAAAGATAAATAAGAATAACACAACACAATACAAA